CCCCCTCTTTTTTTCCCCCAATTTCATTTTTGCAGTCCTTTTTTTTCTTTCTTATTTTTCTTTTCTTTTCTTTTTTCTCTTTTATCTTTTTCTCTTCTTTCCTCCTTATCTCCTAATTCTCTTAATTCGGGTGGTCACCTTTATTTGGGGTTATTAATATCGTGAATATATTTGTGTTCAGTGCCTGGTACGTTGTGCCTTGTTGTGTTGTATTTTGTGCCTTTAAATCAACGCAGCAGATCCAAGCAACAGCAGCCTCCTGATCACCACACCCTCTGTCTGAGGAACAGCAGCTGTACGTGAAGCCTCCCCCCACCAGCCAGAAGAGCCACCACAGCTGTGAACAACACCCACCAGAGGAGCTGCTGCCAACTGAGGAGCAGCTGCTACCGCAACCACCCAAGGAGCAACCACAGCCCAAGGAGCCACTGCCACCCAGGGAGCAGCCACTGAACGACTCAACATCTAGATATGTCAGTGAGATCAAACATGGGTAGGCAAAGAAACCCCCAAAGGAAAGAAAAGGAGGACTCGCCAGAAAAGCAGCTAAGTGAGACAGAGGCATGCAACATGACAGAAAAAGAATTCAGAATAAGGGTCCTAGCGTGCATAAACCGGATGGAGGAAAAAATCAACTACTTATGCAAGAAGCAAGAAGAAACAGATGAAAAAATCAATAACTTATGCAAGACCCAAGAAGAAATGAAGAGCGATATAGCTGCAATAAAAAACACCATTGAAAGCATCAACAGTAGACTAGGAGAAGCGGAGGACCGAATTAGTGAATTAGAAGACAAGGAAGCAAAACACACCCAAACTGTACTGCAATTGGAGAAAAAAATTAAAAGACAGGAGGAGAGCCTAAGGGAGCTTTGGGACAACATGAAACGAAACAACATACGAATAATAGGGGTGCCAGAACAACAGAAAGATGAACATGGATTAGAAAACCTATTCGAAGAAATAATATCAGAAAACTTCCCTGAGGTGGGGAAGAAAAAAGTCACACAAGCCCAGAGAGTCCCAAACAAGGTGAATCCGAAAAGACCCACACCAAGACACATCATAATTACCATGGCAAATGTTCAGGACAAAGAGAGAATCTTACAGGCTGCAAGAGAGAGACGGAAAGTTACATACAAGGGATCTCCCATTAGATTATCAAATGATTTCTCAACAGAAACACATCAGGCCAGAAAAGAATGGACAGAAATCTACAAAGTGATGCAAAGCAAAGGACTGAATCCAAGAATACTCTATCCAGCAAGGCTTTCATTCAAAATTGAAGGGGAAATAAGAAGCTTCACAGACAAAAAAAGGCTAAGGGAGTTTATCACCACCAAGCCAGCCATGCAAGAAATGCTAAAGGGACTGGTGTAAAAAGAAGAAATAACAAGCTCAGAAAGAAAACAGCCACACACAAAAAGAAATGGCTATAAACAAGTACCTTTCAATAATAACTTTAAATGTAAACGGACTAAATGCTCCAACCAAAAGACATCGAGTGGCTGAATGGATAAAAAAACATGACCCATACATCTGCTGTCTACAAGAGACCCACCTCATTAGAAGGGACTCACACAGACTGAAAGTGAAGGGATGGAAAAATATCTTTCACGCAAATGGAAAGGAAAAGAAAGCTGGGGTAGCAATACTTATATCGGACAAAATACATCTCAAAGTGAAGGCCATAACCAGAGATAAGGAAGGCCACTTCATAATACTAAAGGGATCAATACAACAAGAAGATATAACCCTGGTAAACATATATGCACCCAATGCAGGAGCACCCAAATTCATAAAAAAACTCCTGGAAGATATCAAAGGAGAGATCGACAACAATACAATCACATATACATTTTTAATTAAGAAATTTTAAATAATATTGGGAGTGTGTGTGTGTGTGTGTGTGTGTGTGTGTGTGTGTGTTTGAGACCCATGAATAGACAGCTTTTGAAATTAGGTACAGGTTCAGCTTACGTGTAGTGACCTTTTCTCATCTAAAGGAGATAACGAATACAAAATGGTTCACAATTATAGATGTAAATACCAATATTAACAATGGTGTAACTATTCCAATTGGAAATGCATGTACAACCTCCAAACTGGTTGAAGTAAATATATAAAACAAATAAATGTGAATCAATTTAAAACTGGTCTAGAAAATTTTTAAAAGGCTAC